ACGTAAACTCATCCAATCATATGGTGATGCTCATGTCGTTGCTCTTGATATCACGAAAGTTTTCGATCAGCTGTGGCATGCTGCACTGCTATGCAGACAGTTTCGGGACCCTTTCGCACCGACGAGGGGTCGGCGATCTAGCTCTCTTCTACCGCTACGCCAAACGGCTTTGCTCCTCAGACCTCTACCCCATGATACCGCCGCGCGATGTTCCTACCAAACAAACCCGCCTGACTAAGGTACATCTGGAACTTGTCGATACGACCACTCCTTTGTCCCTAGTGTAATGTCTTAGTTGGTATCAATAATACCCGGAAGTATACTAATGGTTTATTATATATCACCGATAACTGTTACAAATCCGGAACCCCGACATACTGTGTGTTAAACGTATCCCGGTGAGAGTACTCATCGTACATGCGCAATTTTCGGGGAACCAGGGGCGTACTTAATATACTACACCTAGGATATCAAAATTATGGAACGATCTACCCGAGGAGGCTTTTCCCGGTTCTATTAACCTTAGGCAGATCAAAAATCGGATTAGCAGTTTCTTTAAGCTCTTCATAGCAGCCCTCATGGCCTGGTTCTTCCTGCGCGGCTGCTTCGGTATAAAAAATTACATGGCTTCAAGTAAGGATTATAATCTGTATGATCGAACACTTGGATTCTTAATCCTTCAGAAAACAGTTAAATGCACGCGATGCGCCGGCGCGTTGTTGTGGCAAAACAATCTTCTGATTACCACTAAGCCTGATCACTCATAAAAAACGATACTTCGTTTTTCAAACGACCCGATTTCGACCTTTTTACTTCATCGTCAGATCAAATTCGGAAGCCCAGGCTCAGCTCTGTACTTCAGATGAAACATAAAAACAATGTAGTCAACTTCCGTCACCGATGATAATTGAATTTACAGTACTATGTTGGTACTCTCCAGTTTCAAATCTCTTCAGCATTTTTTAATGTGTGGCGTTCCCAAATTATATAAAGTTTGCTACAATGATGATAGATATAATTCGACCAATACTTTGTTCAGAAATATATGTGATTTGCCTGTCTTCCGTCATAGATTTTCTCAAAAAGCCTACCTTCTCTATGGCTTTACAGGTTATGTGACTATTCCAAGATGCTGTGATAATATCTATTCGTTATTCCGTAAGGAACTATAAATTTTATCACTGACGATCTAAAAGGACAATAAAAGCTAGAGATTGAACAATACACTCCTGAGCAGAGGATATCAACACGGAATTGAGACCGTCAAGTTTTGCAACCCGCAATCGCGAGAAAGCTTCGCTTTGTTACGGGCATTGTGACTGGAAATTTTAAACTAAGGAGGTACTTCAACAATATGATGCTAAATGTTACTTGCAAGGGAGGTTAAGTAGAAAACTTGCCGGAAGTTGAAACAGTTAAAAGCTAAGAACTTGCTAAGTAGCCAATTTGCTACAATTGAAGGAATTTCGTAATTATCATTGTATCATCAAAAGCGATGTCACTCATTTCCGTCGATCTTTTTGTCTCTCTGTCTGTTCCCAAAACCTTGACCCGTATATACGTATAACATAAAAAGTACTGCTCGGATTTGGATGAAACTTTTACACAAAGATACTACTACGCTAAGGATGAAAATTTTGAAAATCGGTCCAGTGACGGGAAAGAAAAATGCCAAAAACGAAAAAATAAAAATTGGATCAGACTCTGTTTTTTTTTTAAGTTTTTAGGGTTAAAAAATTGGGGGGATCCTTGGTATCAGTCAGAAACAAATCTGGGATTGGCCCTTTGTGGATAAACGATCTGTTGAGAAAGTTAAAGAAGTGATAATGAAAAGAGTGTGAGCCAAATCTGCGAAAGAAAGGAACTGAAACGATTAGAGAATACACACCTAGTTTTTGAAGGAAGTGGCGTATACCATTTAGTTGACAAAAAAAGCAGACGTTCTTTGTACTGTTTGTGAGGTATGACGAGACATACTTCAGCAATTCTCATGCATGCTAGAAAGATGGTCAATGATACTGCAGCCAGATTCAGTGACGAACAACAGAAACAATTATTATTGAGGATAGTTGAACATCACAGAAAATTCGTTCCTAGGTGAACAAAAGGTTGCATCGTCAAAATTGACTAACACACAAATGCATTATCACAATACCTATTAATATATGTGTGTGTAGTAATTAGAGAGATTCTGGGATTTACCGCAGATTAAGATAAAGTGCCTTGCATCCTTGCATCGTGTTTAGAATCTCCATCACCCTGCATACAGGGGGTGCGTCTAGGGCAGAATTATCATTGATGGAGCATATGACATATAGAATATTAATATCTGACGGGCTCGAATATTTCTGTCACTTTTTTTTACATTTTTGACCATCTGTAGTCGCTGCCCCCACCACTTTAAATATATATATATATATATATATATATAACAAAAAATAGCAATATAATGAGCAAAATCCGCAAAAAGAAGGAAAGTGTATTCGAGCAGAAAATAGGATAGGTAACCTGAACAGTACGTATTTCGGCTTGTTGGTTTCATCAGGCCCGAAATGAATGCAGATATGCAACCACGAAAGTAGATACATATGCCCATACATCTGGATACGGATGTAACCTGAGGGAACGGAGGTGGAGAGGGAAAAAATATGGTGCTCCGCTACAGAAATAGCCTGCAGCTGGTCGGTTACAGCAGTTTGAATATTTTAGACCACCATAAAATGAGTTCCCTTGAGGTAATTTTTCAACTTCGGGAAGAGAAAAATGTACAAGGTTTTATGTCAGGCGTGTAAGGAGGCTGAGGAGTCACAGGAATGTTTTACTGGCTAAAACTTAGTTTATTGACATTGCTGTGTGACAGGGAGCATTATCGTGATGCTAACCCAGTTGTTCTTGAACTGATGAACGGTGGTGTGAGTCAAATGTAACTCTTCCCCGATCATTCTGACTGTCAACCGATGATCTGAACGCGCAAGATCCTGGAGTATGTCGATATTTTCATGAATTCTTGAAGATGAAGGCCTTCCGCTTCGTGGTTCATTTTCAATCGACTCTCTTCCTTCTGAAAATGCCTTAAACCACCGAAAAACCTAGGCTTCTGTCAAAACGCTATCTCTGCAGGCCTGCTGACCTCTGTAGACCTCCAGTGTTGCCCGATCGAACGTTACGTTGCCAGTCTCAGGACTTAATTTACAGACCTCGTGACATCCAAAAAACATATTATTTTATTTTGGAAATGTTTCGCGATTACAATACTTCCTCGCCGGTGGGCGTAGGAAGTAAAAAGAAACACTCTAATGTATAAGCACTAGCTTTCAACTTTCCATCGAAATGTAATAAACTCATCATACAAATATATCTTAGCCCGTCAGGCTGTTTCCAAAAACTTAACAACGCAAAAAAGATTTAACTAATTTGTAAAACGAGCTTGCTCGGAGGCACTTTCAGCTGCCTTCATAACTCCGCGCATATATAGCCGAAGTTTTCCCTCATTCATAAAACTTTTCACGGAAATCTGCTCCCAGAACGCGCCGCGTGCATGGCATCGCTATGCGGTGACGAACTAGTTTTAGTTTGTGTATAAAACTGCCACCCTGGTACATTTTACCCAGAATTGTACTTGGTATGGCTGTGGCATCATAAAGCCTTTGGTCGTGGTATCAAGTCGAGATTTTTATAGTACAAATCTGTGGTATGTATTTATGTTTTGCACAACTCGAGTATAAAATATGTTTTTTTTCTGTGAAATACTGTAGTGTAGTTGTCGTCACCGTTCTTGGCGGGTCAAAGACTACCAGTATCCCTTTATATATATATATATCCATCTCCCTCATAGATAAACATGCAACCTACCCCTGTGGGTGAACGTTTGTTCGGTAAGCTCAAAGACGTACGTTTCCAGGATGAGAATGAAATTAGCAGTCCCCTGTTACCCACTTCATGCGTACTGGAGAGAGTAGCAGATGCGCTGATGGTACGGAGACTCGATCTGTTTACTTATTTCATTTGGCATTGATGGCGTAACCACCAAGAGTTGAGAACTACAACTATAGTTGAACCTGACAACTGTAATCTGCTACCAGCAGAGCAGCTCAGTACAACTGGTTGCCTTTATTCAGTTTTTTACTTCTCCGTGATTGTGCTGTAATTTGAGGAAGCAGGTATATTATTTATTGATTTAAGCACAAATAAATCAAATTGTCTTAAATTTGTAATCAAAATTCTAGATAGATACGGGCAGCAAAGGAACATCTTTCTAACATCAATGACAGCGTGTGATGACAACTGTTACAATCTGCGTCATTTTTTCGTTGCTTCCAAGGAATCCTCAAGGAAGGTCTATAAATCTGACTATTAACTGCTTTTTCCTGGAAACATGTCCCATTCGGGCATTTTCGTCGTTATTTTGTATCCTATTGCAAATAAACGTGATGGCATAACGTTTCACAGTATAATATACATGTATTTTAGACACAAGATGGAGGACAGGCATCCTTAATCGCTGAACAGCTACTGATATTTATCGAGAGCGCGGAACTTAACCCAAACCAACGTCGATAAAATATAAATGTGTCGCCCCTGATGCTGTTTTTTATAGCTAAAAAAGATTCCAACATCGCTTCTCTGGATACTATCTCGAGAGGCTGTGTCAATGTGCCAAAAGACAACCCTTGACAAGATTCAGTTCATAATTTCCCTAATGTACCAAAAAGTAATCCTAGAGTACCAAAATATAAAATTTATAGGAATACGAGAGCCATATAAAGAATTTTCACCTGGAAGGCAGATAAGTCAAATATGTATAATGTTGATGTACTGAATAAAATCACCTTTTTTTATTGAAATGTTTACGGTAATGAATTCTGTTAAATCATGTGGTTTTATTGACCAAGCAAGCATGCGCTTATTTGTAGAACCTTTCACAATTTCGCAATTCAGGCATAAGCAAATTGTAGTATCATGATAAACCTTATGAAATAAGCAAAAAGATTTTGTTCCAGATATTACACCATGGAAGTACTTGTGTGATATGGGAAGGAATAGAGGGACCATCTCCACTAGGACAACGAGGTTCCCTTTTATACCTAAGGCTCGATAGGTCGTCAACCACTTTGACATGGGTGAGTGGCTTTACTATTGCGAAGAAGATTGGATTTTCTGTCATAAATTAACTTCAAAACAATTGGTTAATTGTACCAGTGATGTTTTCTAAATATGATTTATCACAATGTGTTATAGCTGAAAAATTAATGTAAGGGCGACTATGAAAGGATTATCACGTGTATACACGTTTTACTTGTAAAAATAAATGTATTAATTTACATTTCTTCTGGAAAATAGACTAATTCAGAGTCCAAAAATTGCAGAAAACTGCAAGAATACGAACTGATCCTGCATTTTTACATCTAATCCATAAACAACATTTCTAGTAAGCCCGAATTAACAAACAAGTCACAAGCTTTTTGTGTATCATTGATTTATTCCAAGTTGAAAAATAATGTTAAAACTTTGTTTCAGGTTCGTCCGAGTTGGAGTGGCTTGAAATCCGGTACAACCAGTGATTCTGATCCGTTTTCCACCGATTTTAACCTTTCTTTCAATCCAGAAGATACTCTGGCACCTGGCCTACTGACAAAATTAGCGTTACAGGCTGCAGGCGAACAAAGCACAGGAACTACCTTGGAAGACGGGTATGTGAAAAATTATATTAAGGAGATATATTCTTAGCCTACTACAGAAAAACTGAAAATATTGTATTATTGAACGCAACACCCTTGTTACATCATGGTTCGGATTGCACGAATTACGTCACTGCTATGATGATGATCTCATATCTAGTGATGCTTAGATTTGCACTTTTCAATTCCCTTGTTCTAGCCTAGGTTATAAACAGGAAGTACCTGTAAAAGAATGTGTCCAGTACGCATTCATCTTCTGTTAAATAAAGTCGTGTTTTAAAAAGTCGTTCGTTGTTTCCATATTCTTATTTGGCGCTGCGAACAGGATCGACGTACCGAATCGATAACCGCCGGTATTGATTCATGAGTGTTGCTCAATCGAGACCGAGAAAAGTGTCAAAAATCGTCCGGTGTGTTCGTTTTGACGTCGATCACAAAGAGCTTTGAGGGCTGAATCGAGTAGGCCTATCACCATCGGAGTACCAGGCTGACATACTTGCTAAATATTTTGAGAAGGGAAGAAATACGGCACTCATAAAATGATGATCTCATTTGTAGAGATGCACTTTTCAGTTTCCTTGACCTAGACTAGGTTATAAGTAAGAGTTACTTGTGAACGATTGTGACCAGTGCTCATCCGTCTTCTGTTAAGTAAAGTCGCTTTCTTAAAAAGTTGTTTGTTGTTTGCATATTCATTCACGCGATGTTTATAATCGTACTCATGCTTGCTATTGCTCCGCGTTCAGGCATTTGGGAATACATTTTGTAGAAATTATTTTCATGGAAAAAATCAGCATGAACGATTTTATGAATGCATTCTTATGAAATCTTCAGGATCTAATTATACGTTTTATTTCAATTCAACGGTCTGATAACACAAATCATGAACTGCATCGAAATTTTTCGGGGTCTTTCAAGTCTCTCATGTTGAATGGATAAGTTTCCTCTTTTTGAAGCAGTAGCATATGAAGCACAGTCATCACGAAGGGTATTGATTGTGTCCTCGTAAATATCCTTGCCCCGTAACTCCTTCAAATACGGTAATGATAGCTCGACATTCCAATTTATCCATTTTGGAAATGGTAAGAGTACGAATATGTAAAAGAAATACGAGTATAACGAAATGTTTGAGAGAAATTGTAAGTGGAAAAACTATTTGATGAAAACGTGTGGAAAGGCTTGCTGTACGAGATTATGGGCCGTTCCAGGAAAAAAATGTTCCGCTTCAAATTGTTGAATATTGAATAGGGTTGAAAAAAACTATAGTTTTTTCATCAAGTTATTTCATGTCTAAGGGAATGAACCTTGGCCACTTTTTTAGCCCTAAGACAGTCACAAACTCACATCCACTTACAAGTTTCCCTGGAACTTAGTTCGATGTTCGCTATATTGCTTTATTATTATAAGCAAAGTAATGAGTAATGGTTTTATATATTTTTTCAAAATGGCGATAACTCAGAAACCATGCGCGATCACATAAAAACATATATGATTTCTCTGATTGGAAATGGCCCCTTTATCAGCCCTTTATAGTCCATGACTTTTGGAACACCCTGTATAAGCAAACAACGTAAAATCGCAAGTGAGATCAAATAAAGGCTTTAGGTCCATAGTAAAATGAGCATCTAAGCTCGAAACATGATCGGATGAAAACTGGGTCACACACAGCATTAAAGTGCATCAGCTAAATTTTAGCTCGCTTTTCCGCTGTCAAAGAAATTCACTCCATCGTACGCCATGTGAATCGTTTGTATAATCCTATTTCAAATCCATTTATCTTTCTTCGTTATCATGACGTAACAAATGGTCTTAAACGTGATAAATAACTCTTGTAAAGGAAAACGACTAGGCGGTAATTCCCGAAAATAAATAGCACTTAAAAAGAGGGCAACCCTATAACTTGGAAGGGGGAAAATTATTAGAAACTAAGCATGGAGTTGTGTTTTTTAATTAACTTAATAACCCATGACGAGGAATTATCAGTGTTGAGTATAATGAGTTCACAATGTTCCACTGCCATGGATAACAAAAGTTTTACAACATTTGACCAATTGGGGCCTCATGTGTCCGTACAAAACAATTAAGTCATTTTAATCGCCACGGACTAGCCCGAAAGCAATATTATTATTTCTTGAATCCTTGTATAAGGATGACTCGGCGATGTGATTTTTGACAAATCTGACCTTTAGCTGAGAAAATGTGCTCTTGTTAGAGATCAATAAGATGAACCATTTTTGAGAAAAACGCTGGTATTTCAGCGTTCTATCACATTTGATATTAGATTCGTATACCATTTTGAAAATATAACTACTCTGATAATACAGCTCTCTTTTGGTCAAGATTTTTAAGAATAAACAAATCTACTTATATCCCGAAGAAGTCGAATTGGCGGATTGCCTATTGTGGTCTGAAAATTTAAAATTTTTGAAAATTTCGATCTCACGCTAAAAGGTAAAAAAAATGACTACTGCACGGATTTTCAAAAGTGATACCTATAGCTTATTACACTGATCCCTCAAAACAGCTCTCCTGTCTAGCCATCGGAATCAGTCAATCAAGAACCCTAACAGCCTAATACTTTCCATTTTCCATGATGTAGACATATCATAGTGTGTACTTCTCAAAACTCGTTACCTCGGAATCAAAAGATTTTGCGAATGTAATACTTCTCTAGCATACGCGTGGGAAGTATCAGTAAAATGAAAGTGCATACCTGTAATTGTGTAGTAACATTCATTTCAATAAATTCATAATGCAGTAATTAATCATAACCTCATGAAAATGAATGAAAATTTGAAGTAACACTTGAGCCAGAACAGACTAGAAAATCGAATAATCACTTATTTACAGAATTTCATTCCTGCAAAGAAGATCCTGAATGAGTTTCATGTTTTCATCTTTCTTTTTCTTATACTCTTTGAATAAACTAAGACCCTCCATTTGACCTTCGTGATGTAGCTGCGCTAACACTTCTTCTCTTTTTAATTTCCTTAATTCATCGCTCTCGTCTTGTTCGTTTTTTTCAATTGTCATATTTTTCATTTTCAAGATGATTTCTCGTGATCCTGAGATGAATTCGTTCATTTCTCTGCAAAACTTTGCCTAAAAGTAAGATTTAAGGTTGATGTTATTTTTGTATTCGTGCTTCGTTCATCCGATTTTTTTACGTCTTATGAAAAAGCGAAGACTAAATGTCGAAGTACGCGAGTAGAATTATACCACTGGCATGTTTCCAAGTTATGTCTAATTAGACTGGTGAATATTACGTATATGTTTTCTGTTATACGCATCCGTTCAACAACCGTAATTCATTTTTTTAATTAGTTTTTTGAATTGCGGGTGGGAAATCCTAAGAATACCCAAAATTACACAAAAGGTATTGTTATATATGCAAATTTCAAGGTCCAACTAGATTTTCAGTGGGGCCCGCAGTCCCTGCGGTCCTTGAGTGCATTTCGATTTGGAAACGTAAGTTGAGTGGATCAAAATCAGTTTATTGTTCACACGTGGGCAGTTGGATTTTCAATGTTTTTAGCCCCCTAACAAATATATAGAATTCCGAAAGGAAATAAAATTCCGAAAATGACGTTTATAGAGCTTTGTGAAATACTTTTTGACAAAAAAACGGAACTCGAAAAAATTCTCAATGTTTTGAGGTGGTTTGAAATGTTTTAGTTGAATTCTTAATTCCTCTTCTTCTTGCATCCCGTTTGGTTCTTTCCAAAAATAAAGTCATACCCATTACAGCATTACAGTAGTACATTGCTCTCCAAATTTTATCAAAATTGGTCTATCGCCATTGGTTACTAATATTGCTTGGCTACAAAGCTAACCGAAATCAACCGCATGGTTCATCTTAATGCAAATATTAAAAACATAAATAATTATGCATTATCAATCGTTTGATTAAAACTTTATAATTAAAAAATATATAACTGCTACTAGAACTTGTACCGTAGAAAAATTATAACAAATTCATCCAATTCTGTCTTTACTATTATAAATGTTTGCTTTAGTTGCAGTTAATATACCATACAGATTATATATTACATTATTCCCTACTATTCATCGTCCGTAATTTCAATGTACTTAACCAAGCATACGTAAATATCCTCAACACTCTGTATATATCAGTTTCACTAATAAATGTCAATTCCCTTAGTAGGCCATGACAATTAATACACTGTTTGTCTTCAAGCTGCAAATGTTTGCGTCTTGACGGCGGCTTTTGGGCTCGCAGAAAAACAATCCTCGAATTCAGGGAGTTATTTGTAGGCTGTGATTTTTAGGAGGTTCGAGAGTTCAACTTTTCGGTTTTTTGCGTTAAATGTACTTTTTCGTGAATGGATCCACCAACTCATTTCATGCTATTAGGTTTATAATTTTGCTATAATTTTGTTTGCTGTGGCATAATTGGCTAAAGCAGCGATATGAGTTTGTTTGATCCAAAGTTATTCGGCAATCTGAAATGGCTTAAATATTCTAATCTTTATGAAGTAAACCTCGAAAACATATGTGTCCTGTGTCTCATTTTCATAAGCTTTATTGTATTTTTTACAATTCAGTCGCCTTATTTTAATTAATTCTCACCTAACGTAATTTCCTTGAAAATGACTACAACCAAAAGCTTCCAGAAAATTAGAGAACATATAAAAAAATATTATCTAGTTTGCGACCACACTATCGATTCTTAATATTTTGTCAAAGTTAAAACATTAGTTTCTGACGTCATTTGAAGGCAAATAGAATGTCGGAGTGTCTGGTGGTTGTTGATTCAATTATTTTATATTATGCCATGTCACATGTTTACACACAATTACAGTCCACTATTTTAAGTCAAATGATCATCATGACACTGCACAGAATCGCCGACAAAGTCTTCCCTGCACACCACAATAACAACTTGCTTAACAGAAGAAGAGCGTCGCACGGAAGTGTCGACGCAGCAGCCCCCAGACGCGCCAACCGACAACTAAAGAGCGCGTTAGTTCGCAGCGTATGGCAGTACGCCGGTACCGTTATCGGTGTTCTGTGTAGTCGCTGGTTGGAATTTAACCACGCGTACCTCCAGCTCTCAATCTTTCTTGGGCGTCGACGTGAACATCAAGCGCGCGGATTACGAACTGTGAGGGTAATCTCAAACGTACTGCCTTTTTAAAACTACAAAAAGTATCAACTTCCAATAATTGATACATCATTAAAGCTTCATGAAGCATTTGAAAAGGTGTCATACCAGAAATTTAGAAATTTTCCTCTATTGTACATAAACATGAGAAGCAAGTAGTGAGGGGTTTCTTCAAGTTTCATCCATAAACAAAGAATATTGCTTATATTAAAACTAATGAACGTGATTGTTCTTAACAGCTCTTAGATAGACCCCATTACCTCACTGTGGTCATATTGCTCCTCCGACAGCTCCATTGTACGAATCACTTCATCAATAAGTTCCTTTGTTGCCTTTGTCTGTTTCTCTAACAAAATTATATCAGCATATAGGTCTTTTTGTTTCTTTTTTAGTCCGTTTATTTCACTTTGTTTGTCCAACAAACTAAATTTCAGTGCTCGCAACTCCTTCTGTAGGTAATACCTTTTTGCAGCATTTTTCACTTCAAATGCTGAACGCGTTTTACATTCTTGATACCTTTGCATCACTCCATCCAGATGTTTTGATAATTCCAGCTCAAAATCACTCGAAAACATCATCTCACAAGCTAACATCCACACTACCCGCAACTCAGTGGCGAAATCTGACGGATAAATTGTATATGTCAAGCGCAGTTCATTTGTTTCAAGCCCTTGGCTACTAGACCATATTATTGAGCGCGTAATAACCATTATAGTCCAGGACCAGCATTTTGGAGTCAAGCATTCAAATGAAAGAATCGAGAGCACGAAGACTAGATAGAGATAGGAGGTTAGACTACGTAAGGGAAAAAAGCATTTGAATAACGTTAATCCTATCGCCAACGATGGTGTGGCTCTCGGAAATCTGGTAGACGTTAAACATGACGTAGAATGTCTGCACATAGAGAAATGCCAGCATAACCTGCCGCAATCTGTATGTACATTTCAAACACGTGTTGTCATGCTTTGTAGGGTTATTACTTACTTCGGGTTTATTAATATTATCCAATATTTCTGCTTGCAGCTCGACCGAAATATCAAAATTGGATTTGTTTACAGTCATGACCACAGCTGGTACATGCGCAGAAACTGAAATTCATTTGCTGCGCGGTGTACCAACTTGCCAAAGTCGACATTTTGGTTTGACCCCCACTCCGTGAGCTTAATCTCCTATCTCTAATCTTCATGATGGGGAGATGTCGGCTGAACTGCTATATGAAACTTCGCGCTAGCCTTCGATATAGCGAAGAATTTGTTGGAAAATCCGCAATTCATTTGATGATAAATATTCTCATAAGATTGGTTTCTCAAACACTTTCGTTAAAAGCCCCACAGTAAGGAGCAACATGTATTCCACGCAAAAGCTGTATTCGGTGTGGAGGAGATATTATATATAACTTCGTCTCACAATGTCCCACAGTGAATTTTCTATAATTTTCGTTTCATTTTTGAGCAGAAAATTATTATGTTACAAAAAGGGCCAAAAATGAGTCAATCGGGACCTAAGCCCAACTAACCTAGTAATACTTTTTTTGGGACGTTGAGTCAAATCTTCAAAAATTAGTGCGCGTCCATGATCTGGATGAAATCTTATTTACTGGGTAAATCGGGGGTGCGTAGATTCCAACTTTGATATCAAATTAGTGCTAGCGATTACATGAGGTAACTATTCCTTCACCAATTTTTCACCCCAATTTGGCACAATGATGATATTTAAATTTAGCTCCTCAAATTATCAGAATGATGCATATAGACATCGATAAAAAAAATTATTTTTAGCACACTCATTCCGCAAATATCCCATATTTTTACGACTTTTCACTAAATGATAGATAAACGGGATCAGATGCATTTGAAATGAGTTCAGATTCCGTTTTAGCGACCCAAAAAACGTTCGACAGAGGTCTTTTTAACTGCACTTGCTGAAACCAAATAAGGGGGTCAGAAATTCCCAAAATCCCTAAAATTTGATGCGCATCCGTGATCAGGATAGACAAACGTTCTTGTATCGACTGAGTCAGCCAAGCACACTGCATAATTTTAAGAACATATTACTCTGTGGATCTGGACAAGGTACGTAAAATCCTGCCAATAGCGGAATTTTTTCTTGAGTGTGTGACAAGCCAAGGGTGGCTGAAGGCAACTCCTCTCTCGTCCATTCAAGTGTATTGTTTGCTAATAAAAGGAACGCAGAATTCCTTTCACCCGTTTAATGGAAAACTCCCTTTATATTCAATAGCAGGCAATAGTGGTATAGTCAACGCCAAACAAAGTGGCGTGCACGTCATCACGATAAAAATTCCCCGACCTAATGCCTAGGTTTCTATCACAAACAATTGCTCTATTGCAGTTTCATATTAATGTGATATATAAATTGTAAAATGGTCATTACTCTCTTATTATGGTTAATAGTCATATAAACATTGTTATTAAAATATCACATAAGTTGCTTTCTGATAAATTTAGACGCATTATGCGAAATAAAATGTTTTGCAAACGCTCCAATCACTTATCGACATGTAAACGCACTAAACCGATTTCGCAGCGTTGACACATTGTCACCTTGAAACTTATTTAAACTGGGAACTGACATTTGTATTAATTTTGACACTGAATCAATTTGTGGCATTTCAAATCTTTATAAATCCTTTGGCCCCGCATACTGTAAATCAACAACTGTTTGTTTCAAAACAAAATTATTCATTTTACGAGTAGATAAAGGCAATTTTGGTATATAAAGATGCCCAAACAGTTAAATAGTCGGTGTAAGGAACTCGTGGCCTCGTTAATGCACTACTTTGAGCAAGAAAGGGACAACAACGGGCCTTTGTTGCCTTTAAATGCTGTTCAAGAGGTAGGTTACTAATAATTATATGTAATGTATATTAATAATAGTGAAATTTTATTTCATTTTTTGTAGCGTGTTGCTGCTGCTTTAAAAATTAGTTTAAGGACAGTTAGTCGTATTTCCGAGGGTGTGAAAAGTGATGCAAATTTAGAATCGCCCAAGAAAAAGCGGAGTTATATTAAACGTGTAACCAACACAGCGACATTGGATACAAGTGCCATTCGAGAAGTGATCTATAATATGTATCACAAAAGTAAGATCTTATTATAATAACTTATCAGAAATTTGCATTAATTTGTTAACTAAATTATAATGTCATATTACACATGGCTTCAGAAGAACAAGTTACGATACAAACTTTATGGTCTCGATTAAGAGATAGGGCATTATTTGATGGTAGTGCCACGTCTTTAAGGCGGTTGCTTAGAGATCTTGGATTTAAGTGGCTTAAGGACAATCCGCGACGAGGGCTCATGGAACTACCAAGTATAGCTTTGAAAAGGGTGGAATTTCTAAGGCAATACAATCAAGCCAAGGTTGAGGCCTTATACCAGTTTGTCTTCCTCGATGAAACTTGGATATTTCAAAATGGGACCATAGGTCGCTCTTGGCAAAATGGAAACCAAAAAAGCGTGAAAGCTATTAAAACAGATGGTAAAAGGTATGTACTTTTACACAATTTGCACTATAAAATTTAAAACTAATATATTTTAGATACATTATATTACATGCTGGAAATGAAAATGGGTTTATTGAGGGTAGTGAAGCGATATTTTCTTCGAAAACAAAATTGAGCGATTACCATGGAGAGATGAACCAGGACAATTTTTTGAAATGGTTTCAACATCAGTTATTAGAAAAATTGGAGAGTCCATCTATGATTATACTGGATAACGCCCCTTATCACAGCATGATATTGAACAAAGTGCCCAACAATGCATGGACAAAAAAAAATATCCAAGACTGGTTGACAAATCAAAGCATACCATTTTTAAACACAATGTTTAAAACAGAGCTATTGAGTATTGTTGCTCGGTACATAATGCTTCTTAATTATATATATTTTGGTCGACAGTTTATATTTCTTTTGTTTATTCCTATTCTTAAAATAACTGCTTTTTTAGAAACAAACCACCTAAAATATACGTGATTGATGAATTGGCGGAACAACATGGGCACAAAGTTCTTCGTCTGCCTCCTTACCATTGTATATTTAACCCTATTGAGTTAATTTGGGGCATAGCAAAAGGTTACTATAACAGACATATTGGTAGAGATGGTAACAGTGAAAAAGACTGTTTGGATATGTGGAACGAGGCTCTACAAACGGTTACCCCAGACATGTGGAAAAATAGTGTTCGACATACTGAGCAAGAAATTTTTAAATGGTATGAAAGAGAACGAATTTTTGATCGACCAGACATCGAACCTTTAATAATCAACTTTGAGAGTGATGAAGATTCAGATTCAGACAGCGCTGAAGAAAGAAACTCCGACTAACTTTATTGTACAGAAAAAGCTTACACCAGTAGCTTACCTAATTTTAGAATGCATTTTTCTGTATGAATTCTGTAAAATAAATACCATGCATAAAATTTGGAGGACCCCATTTGGATTTTTATTCAGTACCTTTAAGCTATCAATTAAATATGGTAGTTTCATAGTGTCATCTGATCAATAATTGTCATACTTAATGATTATGCAAGTACAGATCTATAATTTTATTATACTATTATTTTTGTTCTCATTTGAGGTTAATATTGCTTATAAACCTAGATATGTAAATAATAAATTTTATTATTTTACAAAAAGTTTGGCAACAATGTAAATTTTTCAACACACCCACCTTGATGACGTGCACGCCACTTTGTTTGGCGTTGACTATTTAATTCATAATACAAGGTGGGCCATTTAAAGTGGAAGCATCAAGCAACCCTATATCTTTGACATTAGTTGTCAGATCGACTAATGTCATACCGCGTCGTAAGCATCATTTCAGTACAATTTTAACCATGGTACAGTACACACCTAAACAATGCGCTGAAATTATTCAGTTGTACATTCAAAATAATTTCTCAATCGTGAAAACTAAACGTGCGTTTCGAAAAAAAAGTGCTCCAACTGATAACACTATCAGACGTTTATACGCAAAATTTGTGAACACCGGTAGTCTTAGTAATGCCAGTCAACTATCCAGACAACGAGCAAGACGATGAAAATATGGAAGCCGTACGAACCAGTGTTGAAGAGGCTCCATCAACATCCGGTCTCCATCGTTCTCAAGAGTTCGGCATCGCTCGAACCACTCTCCGACGCATAATTCCTAAGGATTTGAAGATGTTTCCATAGAAAATTCAAATATCTCATCAATTAAACCCATCTGATTAACCGTGTCGCTTTAATTTTGCTAAATGCAGCATTTAAATGGCCGAAAAAGAAGATGACTTTTGGCGAAAAATCATCATGTCTGACTAGGCATATTTTTCGTTACATGGAGGCGTAAATAAACAAAATTGTCGGTTTAATGCTACCGAAATGCTCAATCAATCGAACAGCAGCCTCTTCATGACCAAAAAGTTGATATTTGGTGCGGTATGTGCGCGAATAAGTTCATTGGGCCGTATTTTTTTGACGACGATGATAGAGCCGCGGTAACCGTCAATGGTGAGCGTTATCGAGCCATGATAACGAATTTTTTGAGGCTAATTGTTTGTAAAAATGACATTGACGATTACTGGTTCCACATGCCACACAGCTCAAGCAACAAT